GGTGACTGCTTGCTAATATTAATGCGTGCAGCATAAATCTTCTGGCATTCTAGTAACCATGCGTAACGCATGGTAGCGCAGCTGTGGCTCCACCATTGTTAGTAAAAACAGCAATAATAGAGTAAATGAGAAAAAAACGCCATTCATTATTCTTGTCTGTGACATTAATTTTGAAACGTCTGGTTCCATTAGGTGATTCCCCATCTGTTTGTTTATAGGAAGCAGTTCTGCTTGTCATCTAAACCAAACAATGCGGTTCTTTGCAATGTGCTCTGTTCTTATTGTTGAAACTGGCTGTCAGGTCAGAAAGACAGAGAGACAGAGAAAAGAGAGAGAGAGGGAGAGAGCGAATAGAGGGCAGAGCAGATAAAGAGTAGCTATGTGATTGTAGCTGTGAAACACAAGTCTCAGAGTATTTTTCTCAGTCTGTTTCTCAGTGTTCTAGACACACAAAAGTCACAGCTTTCCATTCGGCCGAAGATGACATGTACGACACGGTACGTATCATACGTCATGAACGTAGAACATTTTTAGCGCAAGAGGAAGCAGTCTTTCGAGCGATCCACACACTCGTGTGCTTTCCACGACCAAAGCTTCTCTAAAGCCAGATGTTCCGTGCTTCCCGGACACTCGCCGGACATCCCGTGGCCGGGGGCGGGGCCCTCGCGATATCGTGATTCCGCCGCGGAATGCCTCCTGGATCCTCCTCTGTGGGCGCTCATCCCGGCCGCCGCACCGGAACTGGAAGACGGTGTTGCACGCGATTGTCCGACTACGTGTGCGCTGATCGTGGCGAGCAGTGAAAGCGATTGTGCAATTTCTGTTCCCGGTTCGGACTGCGGCAGGCGGCGGCATTCCAACCAGAAAAGGCAACCGAAGAGTAGATTTCGAACCGCCGACGCTTTCCGTTTAGAGCGCGCTTTATGAGACCGATGTTTTTGGTTTTTTGAGTGATTCTGGGAATTTCAAGGATAATCCGGATCAACGCCACCTAGCTTTGGAAACTCGGCGATGATGGAACAGGAAAATCTTGGTGGAGAAAACACTTTCTGAATTTTTGTGTTTTTGTGAGTGTTTTCGATAGATGCGGTTATGAATTTTCTTGCCTGGCTGCGTGACTGCGCACATTAACAATTAAAAATGTGGTTGATTTGCTCCTAATTTTTATACAAATTCTAAATTAATTAAACAACGCATTGGCCTCGAAACTTAAGCTACTCGTTGAGAGAATAGTACATATGTTAATAATTATCGAGGAGTAAAAAATAAATTATTTTATTTTTTTATCTTTTTTAGCCTTCATACTGACAATAGTCAGATGGCAGGCTTGTAGAATCGCACGCATCGTCCGTCCGCTCCGCTGGCGTGCCGTGCCGTCAACAGTTTGGCGCACAAATTTAACCGCTTGACGTACGGTCACGATATTCGGGACGTCGGGGGGATCGTCAAAACGGTTGGGCTGATCGAATGCTGCGGGTCAAGGTCAAAGGTCAGAGGTGTAAAAAGAAGGGCGGGAACATTCACTTCGCTTAACTTACGTATAGGGAGTGAAATACAGAATTGCGGCACAAATACTAAACGGCTTCGATCTAGTGCTCTGTGATAGTCGTGATAGCATCATGTAGGAAAAAGCCGATCACTGTGCGCGAAATTGGAGGGTCAGCAGGTCAAAGGTCAATGGGCACAGGGCCAGATTTCAGACATTTTTCTGAGGACATGTGTCTGAACGGAGCGATTTGAAAAATCTTTTTGTTCAGCGGTGAACCTAGCATTTTTAATGGCATTATTGAAAGGACCATGAAAATCTACTTTCTTGCTGACATAGCGCGAAGAGTAAGTGTCGGTATACTTTTTTGACCCTCACAGAGGAGAGTTAGAACATGGATTTGCTTGACTGTTAACAAAGGAGTGAACTGCTTTTGCTATTAGAGCCCCCTCCCCCCACCTCCCCCTTCCCCCTCCCCCACCCTTCCCCCCGCCCCCCCCACCCCCTCCCCCCAGCCCTCCCCCTACCCTCCATCTGCGATAGTGGCGTGTCTAAACAATGATGTGATACGCCGAAACTGCGTGTCTGGCATATCTGCCGCCTAACAAATGTCGTACTACGCACGACTGGAAATTTTACGTTTATAATCGTTAGCAACAGTACCTCAGATGAGCTAGACGCTCCTGCGCGCTCTTGTTTATAATTTGTGATTATTTCGCTCCTGATGTATTATGATCAGCGCGTTAGAGTTACATCAGTAGGACCTAGACTGTCCCACGCATTGTTCTCGTAGCACGGTCGCGTGTGACTTGCTATGAAGTCAATGCATTGCCAGCTCTTCTCATTCTGGGGGCCATCTCACACTTGCACACGCATTAGGAATATTACAACGCGAGCGGGCGTCTTCAGATCACACAGATTATATTGTATCGGATATGTAGATTGGAAGCATCTTCCACACTCGAATAACAACATCAGAATAAGGGCAGTCTCGGTGATCGCCACAGCGTTAGGAAATATGTAGATGTTGCACCATCTTAACCTTGCATTACAATTTCACTAAGGGGCATCTTCCTTAATGAATCTCACGCGGTCATAATATATTAGATGGCGGACCATCCTCACACGCATGTACAATATCACACGAGCGGGGCATCATCGTGATCTCAGCAGGCTTATAACTATGTAGATGGGGGATTCATCTCAGCACTCGCATTCAATAGCTATAACGAGGGGGCATCGGCACGATCTCACGAGTCATGTCGATTAGGCGCTGATCGCCCGTGATCACTCGCCTAATCAGACCGCCCCGCCGTTTTCTTCCAGGGCGGCTCTCAGAGGTTTGCAGTGAGCGGCTATGCGGGTGACACCATTCCTCCACGGATGAAGACACGCTGCGACCCGGCCCCCACATCCTACCCCCACCACGCAGCCGGCGCGCCTTTCCGGTAAGCCTTTTGTTGTTTTTGTTGTTGTTTGTTGTTGTTGTTGTTGTTGTTGTTTTTCATTGTTCTTTAAATTTTCGTGTTATCCTGTTATCTTAAAATTGTTGTGTTGTATGTTTGCCAGTGTTGTTGTGTTGTTGTATGCGTGTTGCCTAAATAACGATTTGTTAAATAAATTAACCGATCTAAATATGAATATGATATTAATTTTAAATTAATTAAATAATCGTAATTAATCATTTTCATGTCAACTCGACAAAGATCCAGACTCCCTTCACATAATCACACACTCTCCATCAAAGCACGCCTCTTTATTTCTTTCGACTCTTTGGCACTGCGTTCGATCGTTAGCCTATCGCACGTTGCCTTGTTTGTTTGGCAGGCGTGTTTTGTCGTCCAGCTCCAGGGCAGGCAGCAGCACGAGTTTCGTCTGCTGCTGGAGGCGGGAAGGCCCCGAGCGACACGGGCGGGAGTCGAGAGGTAAAGTCGCAAGAGTGCTGCCGCAGGACAAGCAGAGCTCGAGAGGTAGGTGACGACGGTCGCCCAACGGCAACCGGCGCAGACTCAGGGAGCAGAGTTTTTTTTGTTATTTCTCGGATGCTGTGATCGTTTTGTTGTGCGTTTTTCGATTTGCGACCGCTTTAGTAGTACTAGGTGCCGCTGGGTTCCCCTTGGGGAGAGATGTTTTTTTTGTGTGTTTTCTGTTAATTAAAGTGTGTAGATGGATAGTAAGAGTGCGATTTGTTGTTTCTACTAGTTTAACTGTCACCAACTCTGTCTAGCTCTGCTAACTTTTGTCTAACCCTGATTACACATAACCACGTGTGTTTTGTGTGTGGAATAGTGAAAAGAAATTTCTGCCGTCATTTAATGTGTGTAGAATGAGTGGGACTTTCCCGTGTTTTTCTAACTAGTTTCTTTCATTGTTGACACTTGACGTAGTTGTTCGTTGTGCGTGTGTGGTGTATGTGTGTGTGTGCGTGCGTGCGTGCGTGCGTGTGTTCTGTGTTTAGGAGGGTTCAGAACTGTGTAAAGTGCAGGTAAGTCCTGAACTTGTTGGTTTTTACTAGTTTTAACTCTATCTAATGCTGACTAATCTCTTGACTAACTAATCTAACTCTAGATTCGTGTGTTTTGCGTGTGGTCTGTGTGTTTAGGAGGGTTCAGGAACTGTGTAAGGTGAAGGCAAGCCTTGAACTAGCAGCAGGTGGAACTAGACAGCAAAGCACGATCGCTCGAGTGATGTGAAACCACCAGTCTATTTATTTCGCGGTTTAAAATCGTGCATGTGTCCATACTGACACGTGTGGTGTAAGGGGAGGCTTGGAGCGTCTTTACGGGATGCAAATCCACTGCCATGCCACTATCCGCCGTTATGTGTGAGTGGGAGGGCCTGGACCGTCTCTACGGCATGCAGATCCACTGTCACTACCTCGTGTGTGTTAAGGGGGAGGCCTGGACCGTCTCTACGGCATGTAGATCCACTGCTACTACCCTGTGTGTGTTAATCCGGAATGACGGGACAGTTGTACTTTTCATATCTGGCGTCGTGTAACGCGTGTGTATCGCCTGGCTACTGCAGGTATGAGCTGAAGGAGGAAGGGGAGAAGAGGAAGAATTCGGAGCTGCTGCTGCTAAAGATAAAAGAGCAGCTGTCTAAAAAGGAAGACCTGTACACAAGGTGAGAGAACAACACGGGAATTAGCATAGCACCTATAATTATTATTGTTATTATTACTATTATAACTGATATTATTATTATTATTATTATTATAACTGATCATATTATTTATTATCATTATTATTATTATTATAACTGATTCTATTATTATTATATAGGCGCGATGGCGCCCCCTGGCGTCGGGCGGTCGCTCGGGCGTCGGACTGCGGGGGGTGGAAGCGGGCACGGGAGACGGAGTTTCGTCGACGAGGGGACGGTCCCTCCGCGGCGCCCCGCCGCGCGCCATCTTGCTATCGTGCTGCCACCTGGCGACAGGTGCCCCCGCGGCGGCTTTGGCGTGGTCGTCCGGGAAGATCGGTCCGGTGTCCGCGGGTATCGAGTAGTCGCTGGGTGGGAAGGTGAGACCGGTGTCTGCGCGCCTCTCATCGTAAATATTGGTTCCGACGTCTGCAAGTCTGTTGCCGCGAGGCTTGGATGCGGCGTCCGCGCGTTTGCCGTCGCGAACGTCAGTTCCGGTGTCTGCGCGCGTGCGGCCGTACAGCGAGAGGTTGTTCGGCGTTCCGGTGTCTGTGTCGTTGTCACGAAAGCCTGGCCTGGCGTCTGCGAGCGCGTCGTCGCGAAACTTGGATCCGGTGTCCCCGCGTCTGCTGCCGGAGAGAGGGAGGCCGGTTGGCGTTCCGGCGTCTGCGTGTGTACTGTCGTAAAGCCTGGGTACGGCGTCCTCCGTGTGATAAGGTTTGGATCCGGTGTCTGTCTCCCTCTTGCCAGACGACCGAAGACTGCCCGGCGATCCGGTGTCCGCGTGCGTACCATCGTAACGCTTGTGCCCCGTGTCTGCGCGTCGCCCCGGTGATCCGGTGTCCGCGTGCGTACCATCGTAACGCTCGTGCCCCGTGTCTGCGCGTCGCCCCGGTGATCCGGTGTCCGTGTGCGTACTATCGTAACGCTTGTGTCCCGTGTCTGCGCGTCGCCCCGGTGGTCCGGTGTCCGCATGCATGGCCGTGGAGTAACCCTCGTCCGTCGGGGCGTTCGACGCTAACGTGTCTACGGATCGCGGCGTGTCCCGCCCCTCCCCCGCCGCGCTCGCGAGCGATCGGTCGGTCGGCGGGGGCGGGGCGCGTCTGGAGAGCGGTGGGAGGTCGCGCCTCGGTGCCGAGAGAGAGGGTGCGGGTGCGAAGAGAGAGGGTGCGGGTGCGGAGAGAGAGGGCGCGGGTGCGAAGCGACGGAGGCCGAGAAGGACTCTTCCTGCTTTCTCGCCGCCATCGTCATCATCGTCGTCGCGCTGAAACGCAACGAGATCGACGAGTTTTAACGAGTTTCGATTTATTTGAGGCGTGCCTCATTATTTCTCACATTAATCAATAGAAAAGTTCAAATTAAAGTTGCGCTTTGAGGGGTGGCTGCCAGGCAGTGGTGTGCGGTGTGTCAGGCCACCCTTAAAAAATTGTTTGTTTCCCCTTTACCTACTCGACTCTCAGGGTACCGAGTAGGTAGGTAGGTAGGTGAAAAATATTTTTTATTTTGTTTTGACAAGATGTGTGTATGTATATTGTATATTCTGTTTTGTGTATATGTTTTTGCGGACCGAATTTTGTTGTTGTTGCCGAAACGAAATAATTTTTGTTTTGTTTTAATCGGCCAATAAAATGTGTCGAGTAGCGGCGTTTTGGCGAGTCGGTCGCTAAAGGGGAAACAAGCAATATTTTATCTTAGGCCTCAGGGATCCACGCTGCTGCATGTCGTGATTCATAACGTGATTTTAATGAGTAATTATTCGAATAAATTTAAATTATGTTAAATTACATATTATTATTTGAAATTTTTAACATTACATAATACATAATGTTACGTAATTGCATTGTTCTTTTCCAATCACGATTCTAACCGACTGATTGGGATAACGAGCCTTAGCTGCGCAGTCGACTTGGTTGAGTAGAAACAAGTGTTGTGAGTTCGTAGCACCTCCGTCTAAACACACGGCGCCCCCTACTTCGACATGCGGCTACCTCACGACGCCCTATACCTCGACATACGGCGCCCCCTACCTCGACATACAGCGCCCCCTACCTCGACGCGCAGCGAGCTCGTGGCGCCACCTACCTCGAGGCGGCTCATCTCCTCTCTGAGTTCGGTGCGAAACTCGTCCATCTCATTGTCCCACTCGCTCTCCGTCGCCGTCTCCGTGGCAACCTCCTCCTCGGACAGACTCCTGTCCTCCTCCACGCCGGCGGCGGACGCGGCAGAGCCGTGGCGCGCGACCTTCTCCCCAGGCCCTCTCCTCCTCCTCCCTTCCTCCTCCTCCTCGATCGATCTCCTCCTCTTCCCCTCCTCCTCCTCCTCCTCGATCAATCTTCTCCTCCTCCTCTCCTCCTCCTCCTCGTCCGATCTCTTCCTCCTCCTCGCCTCTTCCTCTTCGATGGAGTTCCTCTCGTGGTTATCGACCTGTAGATGATGCGAGAGTGAAAGGAAGAAGAGGTTAATTTGAACCAAAGAAAACTTTTCATCCGGACTTTTCCTGGAGTTTAAACTTTGTTTTTCTGGGACGTTTCCAAGAATTGGAACTGAGATTTTTTGGGACCTTTCTCGGGAAACTCAGACCGCGTAACAATTCGATTCGATAAAAAAACGAATATGGCTGATAACCCCATAAAAACGAAACAATCTACATTAAAAATTTAAAAAGTTACCTCTCCTCCTCCATCTCCCCCATCATCGTCGTCGATGTAGTTGGGGGAGGTCGGCGGCAGCTGGTGCCCCTTGGTGGAGAAGAGACCGGCGACGAGCGCTCTCTTGTCGTCGAACGTCAGCGGCACGGACTTGGAGCTCGGCTCCGACTCCTCGCTGCCGCCCGCCGGCGCCCCCTGGCCGAGCCGCGCTCGCTTGCTGGAGTTACTCGACGATCCGTCGGACGGCGTCGCAGCAGCAGGGGGCGCCGCTGTGTTGTTTCGTTGTTTATCAGGAGCGTCCGCCATGATGGGGAGACTTCCGAAGTCGGAGTCCCAGTTCTCCTCCTCTTCTTCTCCCTCTTCTTTCACGCCCGTCCTCTCTTGTTTTTTCGCACCCTTCCCCTTCTCCTCCTCCTCTCTTGTGACCTTCCTCTCCTCCCGCTCCTCCTTCGCAGCCTTCTCCTTTTCGTTTACAGCGACGACGACGCCGTGCGGAGATTTCTTTATCGTGCTCATCTTTGCGTCGGTCGCCATGACGACGGCCTCGCTGCCCTCGCTGCCATCACTCTCCGCCGGACGTACAGCGCGTCGCGGCGTCGGCACTGGTGGCGCCCCCTCGCGTGCCACGGTGGCGTCGAGCGCGCTCGCTAGGGGGCGCCCCTCCTGCTGGAGTTTCTCCTCGCGGCTGTCGGCGGCGCCCCCTATCGACGGCAGGTAGCCGACGGAGGCGTCTGATTCGCCGCTGTCCCAGTCGCTGTCGCCGCCTGCCGCTCCCAAGATGTCCGCCATAAACTGCGCGTCGTCCGCCGGCGCCCCCTGGGGGTCAACGCGCGCCGGAGGGGCCACCGGGCCAGCACCCCCTGACGGGGACAATGAGAGCGACCCACCGGCGGACGTGTCCTGGCTGCTGCCTTGCCGGACCGGAGCATTCTGTCGCGGGGACGGGGAGGGCGGGCGTTCGCTGCGCGTGGCTCCCCCTGGTACGTGCGAATCGCCCAGGATTTCTTCGGAGAGCTTGCGAGTCTGCGGAGAGATGTGGCCGGCGTGAAAACGCGAAATGGAATCAAATGCACGACAAATTTCAGACAGACAACTCGGCAGGTTTCTGGGTGACAATCACCGATTGTACGTGATTGTGTGCGATTACATAAATATTACGTAATTTATGACCTTGCACGACCTTCACCTACGCAAACGGTTGCTACCGGCGACAGCATCCGTCGCTGGGAATCGCGTACCTTCTCGCTCGGAGGGCTTCCTGCTTCCTCAGCATCCCTCTCCTCCTCCTCCTCCTCCTCGGCGACGCTGCTCTGCCTCTGTACCACGTCGCGCGTCGCCCGCGGCAACGACTCGTCGTCCGAAGACCCGGCGGCAAATTTGGAAAGGTTGACCTTCACGGCCGGAGCCTGTGGAAGGAGTTCGCGAACTCACGATCGGAGAGAGAACTCGCGAACAACTGAATGTGCACAGAACGCGATGAAGGAGGTTCTGTAACTATTAGGATTTGAAAGAACTCACGAACAACTGAACGCTTGGAACATGAGGTTCTTGTGCCAATTAGGATTTGAAAGAACTCACGAACAACTGATGGTAGTGGCAGTGGATCTGCATCCCATAGAGACAGTCCAGGCCTCCCCTTAACACACACGAGGTAGTGACAGTGGATCTGCATCCCATAGAGACAGTCCAGGCCTCCCCCTTAACACACACGAGGTAGTGGCAGTGGATCTACATCCCATAGAGACAGTCCAGGCCTCCCACTCACACATACGGGGATAGTGGCATGGCAGTGGATTTGCATCCCGTAAAGACGCTCCAAGCCTCCCCTTCACGCACGATTTTAAACCGGAATAAATAGAGCTGGTGGTTTCACACTCACTCGAGCGATCGTGCTTTGCTGTCTAGTTCCACCTGCTGCTGTTCAAGGCTTGCCTTCACCTTACACAGTTCCTGAACCCTCCTAAACACACAGACACACACGCAAAACACACGAGTTAAGATTAGTTAGTCAAGAGATTAGTCAGCATTAGATAGAGTTAAAACTAGTAAAAACCAAACAAGTTCAGGACTTGCCTGCACTTTACACAGTTCCTCAACCCTCCTAAACACACACACACGCACGCACGCACGCACGCACGCACGCATGCACGCACACACACACACACACGAAACTAGTCAAGAGTTAATTAAGTATTAATAAGTAACAATGAAAAAATTAAGTAATTAAAACTAGTAGAAAAACACGTGGAAAGTCCACTCATCTACACACATTAAATAACGGCAGAAATTTCTTTTCATTTTCCACACACAAAACACACGTGTTATGTGTAATCAGGGTTAGACAAAGTTAGGCAGAGCTAGACAGAGTTGGTGACAGTTAAAACTAGTAGAAACCAAAGAAATCCACTCTACTATCCATCTACACACTTTAATTAACAGAAAACACACACAAAATCATCTCTCCCCAAGGGGAACCCAGCGCACTAGTACTACTAAAGCAATCGCGAATCGAAACGCACGAACAAAACGTCACAGCATCCGAGAAATAACAAAAAACCGCTCTCCCCGCGTCTGCGCCGGTTGCCGCGGCGACCGTCGCCGCCTACCTCTCGAGCTCCTGCTTGTCCTGCTGGCAGCACTTGGCCTTCCTCTCGACTCCCGCCCGCGTCGCTCGCTCCCTCTCCAGCAGCAGACGAAACTCGTGTGCTGCCTCCTGGAGGCTGGACGACAAACCGCCTGCAAACAAACAAGGGAACGCGTGTTAACGATCGAAACGCAAGTGCGAAGAGTCGAAAGAAATAAAGAAGCATGCTTTGATGGAGAGCGTGTGATTATGAGATGGGAGTCTGGATCTGTCGATTGCATGAGAATAGATTAATTACGATTAATTAATTAATTAAATTTAATATCATATTCATATTTAGATTCGGTTAATTTATTTAACAAACGTTATTTAGGCAACACACGTACAAACAACACAACAACACTGCAACATGACAACACAACAATAAGATAACAGGATAACACATGAAAATTCAAGAACATGAACAACAACAACAACAAAACAACAACAACAACAACAACAACAAAAAGCTCACCGGAGAGGCGCGCCGCCGCCGTGGTGGGGGTGGGGACGGGGGGCGGGTCCAGCGTGTCTTCATCCGTGGAGGAGGTGTCACCCGCCATGCCATCACTGCCAAACCTCTGAGAGCCGCCCTGGAAGAAACGCGGCGGTCTGGTTAGCGAGTGATCGCGGGAACAGTCCCTAATCGACATGACTCGTGAGATCGTGCGATGCCCCCTCGTATAGTATGGTAATGCAAGTGTGAGA